TTATGCACCCTGAAAGGGGAGGAAGAAACTTTGGAGGGGGCGAGCATGAAACCTGACCCATGGAACAACTTCTTGACATGACACCAACATCCCCAAAAGCGTTGCCGGGGTCATTATCTCTGCTTGGGAATGTCGGGTGAGCTCCTGTATCAATGTCAGAATCTCCTCCTGTCTTTCCTGAGATTAAAAAACAAACAAAAAACGTTGTCTTGAACGGTGTCTATGGTGAATCCCAGGTGAAGAACCCTCTGAGCTGTAGCCAAACAACTCCTTTCCCTGTTGATGACAAACCCATGATCTTGCAGGCAAGAGACAGTTCGTTCCATGTCTGCAATTCCCTGATCGTAAGAGAATGATCTGATTAAAAGGTTGTCCAGCTATTGGGAAGATGGAAATGCCCTGTGTCCTCAGATGTGGCACCAGCGAGACTAGGACCTTGGTGAACACTCCTGGTGCCATGTTGAGACTTAAGGGGAGAGCCTGGTATTGGAAATGGAGCCCGCTGTAGGAGAAACGTAGGAATTCTTGATATGGGAGATGGGATTCTCAAATTGGGGTATGTAAATAGGCCTCTGACAGATCTATTGAGGCCAGAAAGTCCCCCCTTCTGAATCAATGAGCCTATGGATCTGAGGGTTTCCATCTAGGACTTTTTCTTTCCAATTCTTTGGTTTAACCATTTCAAATCTAAAATGGCCCTCATGTCCCTGTTTTTTTTTTTTAACTATGAAGAACACTGAGTAGACCCCCCGATGCCTTTTGGGTTTTCTATCACCCCAATATCCAGTACAAAGCGTATGGCCTGGAGGAGAAGAAGGTGCTTCCTTGGGCAACGATTCACTGGGACTTGTATGAATCTGATGGGGTTGGCGGTGCTGAATTCTAGAGAGTAGCTCTGGCTGAACTGGCTGGTATGTTCAATCAGGCACTTCTGCCTCATTGTTGTAAGAAATTTCCAGGATATGGAGAACCTTAGGAAGGAGCTTAGAGAAGACCTCCTGTGGGAAAAGGCGGGTCTGCACAGTGGTAATTAAGGAGTCTTCCTCATCTGATAGTTCTCCCTCTTCTTTTAAAGAAGAGGAGTCAGAGGAATCAGATTCTTTGAAATCATGGTCTAATCGAGGACAGAGTTCTACTGGGATGTCTTTCAGAGTGGGCTACTTTGTGGCTTTTGGAACAGGGGGAGGAAGGATTTCTACTCTCTTCCCTTCTACCGGTCCCTAGATGGGAGGGCGAGTGATGCCAGAATCTGCTAGAAGACCTAGAGAGATCTCTTTGGCTTGGAATAGCTTTGGATAAGGCTGCTCTGATCTCTTTATGCATTTTACCCTTAATCGAAGCTAGGAGGTTGGCCTGTGCATTATCCCCTGAAAGATCTTGTTTAGGGATTCCCATCAGTTTTGATCCATGCAGGAAACCCTGTGCAGAAGCAGACGAGGGCAAGGAGGGAAGCTCAAGACAGGATGCCAACCCTTCTTGAGGCGCAGACACAGAAAGACCCACTCAGGCTGCCATATGCTGCCCTTTTTTTGGGTGAGGGGAACAAATTAAAAACCCACCCTGTGGCTTCTAAAGAAGGTGCCCCCTTGCCTCACCAAGGTTCAGGAGGATGGCTGGAGGACTGAGCAGTCAGTGAATCGCTGTGGCTTACTGCACCCAGCCAGCTCGATGAGCTCCTGATGGCTGCGGTGGGAAACAGGAGCACTCCCTTAGTGGCAGCTGCCAATGCGCTGTGGAATGCAACAGTGACTGGGGAAGCTCCTAGCCCAAAGGCGAGAGATCCTGAGGCTGAACTGTCCTTTGGAGCAGTGGTGGTGGGTTCCTGCTGCAGCGATCCCCGCTCCTAGGCCCCTTTGCAACCACGTTGGCTCCCCTGTTCTTCCCTACTTCCAAACAGGCATCCAAATGGAGGAGCCGACAGCCTTCATACCCTCTAAGAAACAGCAAAAAAACCTCTCAGGAAACCCCTAGCTACTGCCATGAAAAGAAGGGGAGAAGAAAGGAAGGGAGGGCTGATCAAGAAAGAGAAATAGAAATTAAAAGAAAAAAGCTCTTTGGAATCATGGTGCTCGAGAAAGCGCAGTCAGTAATACCTAACTGCCCTGCAGGCAGGGACAAGACTGGGGCCCAGGAGAGAAGCCCCTCCTCCCTAGGAATCGCAAAGTTCAGCGACCCTGCCTGCCTCCAGGGAGGAGCTTCTCCCAGATGTTCAAACTGCCCTGCCCTGGACCACTGGAGAAAAACCTTCTGGATCTCCTGGATATACTGCAAATGGACAAAGAAATTGCAGATCCCTTACCCCCACCACACACAGAATCTCACAATTCCATTCTGCTAATAGTGGATCATTTCTTCAGCACAACAAACACTGAGCTGATGGGGAAAAAACTGCACTGTTTGACTGTACAAGGCTCCTTCTGCCAGCATTAGGTGCTGCTGTTAGCAAAACAGTTAAAGGAACCAACCCAATGAGATTTAAAAAGTCTCTTTTTTCAGAAGAGTCTTTAACAAGCATCTGCACTGCATTTTTTGTGGCACACATTTATATGCCACTTCCACATCCTATATATGTTGGAAAAGTGATATTTATCTATCAGGTTTTTTTAAAGCCTGAATAGCCTGGCTTAGTGTGAGCTCATCAGAGCCTGAAAGCTAAGCAGTGTCGGCCACCGTTAGTATTTGTATGGGAGGCTGCCAAGGAAGACTGGGGAAGCTACACGGAGGAAGGCCATGGCAAACCACCTCTCCAGGTTTTTTTAAAGCCTGAATAGCCTGGCTTAGTGTGAGCTCATCAGAGCCTGACCAGTGTTCCCTCTAAGCTGAGTTAGCGTGAGTGAGCTCACTGTTTTTAAGCCTCCGGCTCACACATTTTTGTCTCAGCTCAGGAAGGAGGGCTCCAGAGCAGACTAATTGATGCAGCAGCCAAATGGCTTGCTCACAGCTTTCATGCCAGTGGCTCACAAAGTGGAATTTTTGCTCACAAGACTCCACAGCTTAGAGGGAGCATTGAGCCTGACAGCTAAGCAGTGTCAGCCACCGTTAGTATTTGTATGGGAGGCTGCCAAGGAAGACTGGGGAAGCTACACGGAGGAAGGCCATGGCAAACCACCTCTCCTTGCCTCTTGCCTGGAATGCCTCGTGAATGGGGTCGCCATGAGTCCGTTGCGACTCAAACAGCACCTTCTTCTTTTAAAAGCAAAATACAAAATGTGCCCTAAAAAGAAGGGAACCATAATGACTGACAGTATATCTGGAGGGGGGGGGTTACCATGCAGTGATTCACATGAACAAAATAAATACGTTTGGAGAACTGTGAAATCCAGCTACTGTCTCTGTACATCTACCTGACAGCACTGCCATCCCTCTCATTCTTCAAAATGGACAAGTTAGACTTGAAACATTCAAAACTATTATACATTAAAGAAATCTTACTAGTGATTTCTATAGAATGTGGGCTGCACTGCAATTAAATTCTAAAATGAAATTTGGCGGAGCTCAAAATTGCCTGGAATTTGAATCCACTGGCCTAGTAGGCTTTAGTCTCCATTCCACATGCATGGGGTCTAGTTATTAAACAGAGAGGAGGGAAAGGCACATGCTCAAAGACACTCACTTTAAATGGCATTCCCTTCATGCATATGAGAGCTAAACCCTGGCACTGAAAGCAAGTACTGAGCAAATCCATTGTGATCCTTCAGTCAAATTAAGCCCCCTCCAGATTCTCTTTGTGTCTTCTATTTTCTGAGCCTTTAGGGTACATTTAGTTTTCAGGCCAATTTTTATATCTGCTAAATATAAAAGAAAGAAGAGAGGCAGATTTGGCAAAAGAATGATTTCAGTAAAGCCAAGGAGGCTGCTACCTCAGTCAAGAGCTACAGACACAAAAGTATTCTTTGTACTAATCAATGCAGGCCTGAATAGGCTACCTACATTCTGGTCTGGCCAGTTACAGCTTTCAAAGTTAACTGCTATATTCAGGAGAACTGATGTAGTTTTTGTTTGTTTGCATCAGTTGTGCTACTTGCATCTGCTACACTATCGGGTATTCAACAAACAGAATCATCATTTATCTTTATGTAATCAGAGAGAAATACTGACTAGTTTCAGATGTTACACTAAACCCTTCCGATGCTAGGTGAATAAGCCTGTAAAGAACTTCAGGCTTTACTCACACACCAAGAACTTGCTTATTTCTTCTCTTCCAACACAAATCAATGTCTGAAACAGGAAATTATGGTTTGCAACCCATGTGTGAAACCCTGTTTGCAATCCTAGTTTACAGGACAATAACAACACTACTTGTTGATTCAGATGTAAGAAAAAAACACGGTTTTCCACAAACCAGAAAGTTACTAATTCTCTGGTGGTATGCAAGGGGAGGAGGGAGGGGTGTCCTTGAGGGCTATTCCAAGATTGTTCACAAGCACCAAACCATAACTTGGTGTGTCTGAACTATAAATAATCAAGCACCTATTTTAAAATTATGAGATCACAACAATGACCTGAAGGGTTTGAGTCAGAAACAAATGCTTAATAAAAAAAAATATTTTGAAGATATTTTTCTTTGTGGTCTCCAGAAGAGCCTAACACTGCAAAACTACAATGAAGGACTATAATCCAATGAGCTGTTTTGATGCCTAATGCTTTTGCTAGAGGTATAGAAATCATTATAAATTCCAAGGTAAATCAAACAATCCTTTCAAATATACATCTCAGAAACAATATTTTCTGCTATCCAAAGAGAGAACCCTGTTAAATACATTAATACAAGTGAAAGGATTAGATAAACTGATTATTCCAGCAAGATTAACATTATACCAAAAAGTACTACTCTTTTGTAAAGTGATCCCTTCGGAATCAGCAGATTTGTTGGCACCTTCTCCTACCACAGCTTCCTGATAAGATCAATTTCCTTCACAATGAGAACTAAAGTTACATTTCAAAAAAGCCACATTCAGTGAAATTAGACATCTGTGTTTTTCTCTCATTCTCATACATACCTGATAGGGATTATGTAGGAAAAAAGGAGGAGAAACCGAAAAAGGTTGCGGTACCATGGACCCACAAACCCTTGCAAGGTTACCATAACAATTGAAAGTGCAACTAGAGCCAAGAACAGTGCTTTGGTCAGTTGATTCAGTTCAAGGTCCAGCAAACCAACCTAAAGAAAGCAACATAAATTCAGTAATGAAGAGAACAAACAGACAAATGCCATTATACACTGAATAAAGTGTATAAGGTTAGGGGGAAAAGTTACTGACACAAAAATATTTCAACTGCAAATTCTGTGTTTAAATAATGGTTCCAAGCACATTTGTATTCTCAAAATGATCTGAGATGATATAAAAAAGGGAGCAGCCTTTTTGAATGATCTTACATCACTTGGAGCGCAGCCTCTGCACTGGTCAAAGACTACCTTGGCTTTAAGGCCACAACTTGTGTTTGCTTTTCAGAAACATAAGGCATCCAATGACCACACCACTGGGCGCTACTATAAAGTACAAAAGAGTGCTGTCGGAGCAATCCCTCCATGAACTGCATTCTCAGGCTCCAAAAGCTCATTTTAGAGCGCCATCCCAGCCTGCATACTTTTTAGGGTAAACAAACAAAACTAAATTTCTAGAAACTACACAGATACCACGTTTGTATAATAAATTTCCTGTAGCGATTTTTGTATACCTTCATATCTCCCCCCTCCCACATGTATGCATGCTTCTTACCATTCATATAGTAGTATAATACACACTAATCAATTGGAGATAGTTACATGTGTGCTTATCATCTATACTGAGACAAAACATCTGTTTAGGAAATTTATTTGTGAGAGAAATAGCCCTTTTACGTTGCAGCTGACAGGTACTTTTGTTAAGAGTACACAGACAATCTTGCTGAAGAGTACGGGAGTGCTACATCTCATAAGCAAATAACCTCCTGAAGGACCAAAAGGATTCCCAGTAAATAATCCCTTATTCCAGAGGTTTCTTGCCAGTACTATCACACTAATCTCTTGATTGGACATTAGCTTTAACTGAATCTTACCCTAAAGTGGATTTTTTAAAATCACTGTAAGCCTTAACAAACTGACTGCAGTGTGCTTATAGTCAGCCACACAATGCTTTGAGGAAGGCCAGCCCTTTGCAAGCCTTTCCAGTATGGGAATCAGGCCCGTAGCCAGGATTTTTTTTTTTTGGGGGGGGGATTTAAATTTTTAAGGTGCAGTTAAATTATAGTTAATTAAATTAATCTGAATACCTGTCTTTAAAGGGGGAGGCTCCGAGCCTGTTTCCCAAAGTCTCATGGGAATGCTTTTGAAAGACTCACCATGACCTAGGTGGTATACAGCAGGACTGGACTGAAAAACACCCCCAAAAAACAAGGTTTCTGGCATGGCTATTTGTGGGGCAGGGGCCCCAAATGCCCCACTGTAGCTTCAGGCCTGATGGGAATGATGAAGAAAAGGAATTGGTTTAAGATGTGGCTATGCATACTGTAAGCTAAACATAGGTAATGTTCTGTAATTCAAATTCTAAAACAAGAAACGCTGAATTCTGTGGCTTGCGTAAATCAAAGTCAAATTAAGCAAATTTTCATTAGTTCTTATTTTGCATAATGTATTCTTCAAGGTTTAAATAATTTATCCTAGTTCAACTAGTCCTGTTTATTACATTTATATCCCACCTTTCTTCTGTCATTACCTAGGATTCCCCAGGAGGTCCTTCAATCCAAGCAATGGTCAGACACAGGCCTGTTTAGATTCAAGCCAACACTGTAATATCCGCTAACTATACCCTGGGACCAAACTGCAGAGAGAAGCAAACAGAAACGCAGGGCACTGAATAGCAAAAATCGTATTTAGACCCTCTTTTCTTTCTGTGATGCTTCTGAGATTTAAGAAAGCTTTACCTGCACACTTCTGAGCATTTTCTAGTGTTATGCATATATTTTAAGGTTTTAAAAATAAACAGATCTCAGGAAAATGAGTCATTCACCTAACACTATATTGCGTTTTATCTATACTATGCACACACTTGTTTTAGTCTTCTGCTCATGAATTAGACATATCACAGAAAAATAAACCCAGAACTTCAGAGCTCCAAAAGTAGTGAATTTAGCTAGCATGGAAGCCTTCAAATTTTGGATTTATTTGAGGCTGTACCGCAGGGGTGGCCAAACTTACTTAACATAAGAGCCACATAGAATAAATGTCAGATGTTTGAGAGCCACAAGAGATGAACAAATATTACACACGTTTTTACTGGAAAATATGCAAATTTGCTTTATATTAACATTAAATGAGACTGCCAAAAACAAAAACAGAAGGGATAAAAACACATATTGATAATGATTCTTTTTTGTCCAATGATATTTATTAGTTTGCTAATGATATTTATTTGCCTGAGAGAGAGAGATGAAAAGAAAGAGAGAAAGAGAGGGGGAAGAGAAAAAAAGAAAGCAAATAAATGGGGAGGGAAAGAAGGAAAGGAGAGATGGAAAGAATGCAGCTTTACCTTTAAATGTGTTCTCCAAACCCCCCCCCACGCCCCCGCACCAGCTGGCTTGGCTTGGAGAAGGGATTTAAAGGGGCTTTGAGAACATATTTAAAGTTAAAGTTTCTTTCTTTCTCTGCCACCCCCACC